GCATCTAAAGCAAGCAAAAACTGATTATGAGGCTCGAGCTGAGTCCATCCTTCTCTGGGAAAGGCAAATTCAGGAACTTCAACAGAAGGTTAAAGAGGCTCAAGAACAACAATTAGCCTACGAAACCAATACTTCTGGCAACCAATTCGAAGAGCTCCTCAACAAAGGGCTTGCAGAAATGGTAACTGCAGAACAACTCAAGGGAGAAGTGGCTACCTTAGAGGGAGCAAGACGTTTTGCTCAACAAAGGCTTGAGTCTTTTCGAAGTACTTTTAACAGATTGAAGAATAATGTCTATTTCTAAATCTTAGTGTTGATTTGGTTGAAATTTGGTTTTTTGTATGTAACATCTGAACAACGCCATTTTGGCAATCCCATATTACCATTTTGGCATTTTTATGATATTTTGATTACGTTGTTATTATTCGAATCTTCTGCAGGCATGGCTTATATTTCTTTAAATATTTCCCATTAACCTTTAGGATACGTTTATCATCTATCAACTCTTCGATTTCATATGCATTGTTTGAGAATACCTTTATTATTCGAAAAGGCCCTTCCCAATGAGGTGACCATTTACCCAACGTTTTATTTTTCTTGTCCATGGGCAATATGACTTTCCAGACTAAGTCATTAATAGTGAATGTTTTTCCCTTCACCCTTTTGTTATATGCCCTGGCCACTCTTTCCTTTTGTCTCATCAGGATTTCCAATGCATGCAATCTAACTTCGTCCAATTCTACTAACTCATTCATCATCATCTCCCAATATAATGCAGCTGGAATTTCGTTTTGTCTTTGAATTCGAACTGATTGTAGATGAATTTCTACTGGCAGAACTGCATCATGACCAAATGTGAGTTGGAAAGGCGTGGTGTTAGTAGCTTCTTTAGGAGATGTTCTACATGCCCATAGTATTTGGTCCAGAGTTTTGTGCCAGTTCCTTGGCTTTTTTCCAATATGTTTCTTGATTAACCCTATTATCACTTTATTAGCTGCTTCAACCTGACCATTTGTTTGAGCATAATATGGCGTTGATGTTAGTAATCTAAACCCCATTTCTTGAGCAAATTCTTGCATCTTTCTACCAGTAAACACAGAACCTTGGTATGTGGTTATGCTCTCTGGCAATCCGAACCTATAGATAATTTGTTTCTGTATGAACTCAATAATAGCCTCTTGATCAGTAACTATTAATGGTATTGCTTCGATCCACTTGGTAAAATAATCTATTCCTACCAAGATATATTTCTGTCCTTTAGACGAAGCAGGATTTATTTCTCCTATTAAATCCAATGCCCATCCTCTAAATGACCATGGTTTAATGATTGAATGCAAATCACTTGCAGGGGCATGTTGAATCCTTGCATGTTTCTGATATTCTTCACAACCTTTAGCAAAGTCTATACAATCTTTGAGCATGCTGGGCCAATACATGCCATATCGAAATAACAGCCATTTCATTTTATGACCTGCTTGATGTGCCCCACATGCCCCATTATGGACTTCTGACAATGCTAAGTATGCCTCACTTTCTCCTAGGCATTTCAGTAATACGCCTTCTTGGGTCTTTTTGAACAATTTATTTCCCATGAGGACATATGACAATGCTCTATATTTTATCTTCCTATCAACATTCAGAGTTGGGTTTGTTAAATAACTCACAAGTGGACTTCGCCAATATGCATCTGATAAAGTGTTTATGGCTAATATTTCGAATCCCTGTTTCTCAGCATAACCCAATTTCATACTCTCTAGATCTGATGGTGTGAATCTAGTAGCCATAACTCTACCCCTTAATTCAACTAAATCCTCAAAGTTTCTGGAAGAAACTTTATAACCTGAAGCCAACTGTGCTAAGTCATTTGCTTCTTGGTTTTCTATTCTTGGTATATGTTGAATATCCATGTATTCAAATTTTCTAAGTAGCCTGTTAACTATGACGAAGTATATCATCAGGTTTTCCTTTATGCATTTATACTCCTTTGTTATTTGCTTGACTACTAATTCTGAGTCTCCTTTAATTTCGACTCTAGTTGCCCCCAATTCCAACAAAGCTTCAAGTCCAACAATAAGCGCTTCATACTCAGCTTCGTTGTTCGAGCAACGAGGACCATCTAATTTATACTTGAATTTTGTTGGAATTCCTTCAGGAGAAATTATAAGGACTCCAACACCACTTCCATTCCTGTGGGTCGAACCATCAAAGTATAATTTCCATGGTTGCATTTCGACGTAACTCATGACAGTCTGTTCAACCAATGAATGGTCCACAATGAAATCAGAAATTACTTGGCCTTTCACAGCTTTTAAAGGCATGAAAGTCAAAGAATATTCTGTTAAGGCTAAAGCCCATTTGCCAACTCTGCTATGCATTATTGGTTTTGAAAGCATGTGTTTAATGACATCGAAATGAGATGAAACATAAACATCAACAGGCTTTATATAATACTTGAGTTTCATACAAGAAAAGTACAAACAAAGACATAGCTTTTCTAAATTGCTATATCTAGTCTCTGCATCATTCAATACTCTTTTAACCTATAGGATTTGATTCAATCCCAAATTATTCAAAGTAATGTTGATAAATGAATGTCAGACTCAGTCTTTCTACTTTATTTTTCAAATATCAAGTTTTGTATGAAATATCTAGACTGACATCCAATTATGAATATTATTTTGAAGAATTTGTGACATTGAATGAAATTCTATATGCTAAAGAGGGAATTATGATTTACAAGATATATGCAATTCGAAAAAACATTGGATCGTCTAAGTTGATTTTCAAGGATAACTTAAATTTTTAAATTGTTATCTTAAAAATCTTTTTAAATGAGTGCAAGTTCAATGAGGGATTAGTGAAACAAGCAATCTCATATGATATAACAAACTCACTAACAATATTTATAAATAAAAACATCAAATTAATTTACATGGATTGAGAGAACTGAACAACTAACTATTTTTTGAAGCTTTAAGTGAGAAATAAAGAACCATAAACACTTGCTAGCTGCACACGAAAAACTATTTATCAACTCACATTGTACGCTTGCTACCACCATCATCATCACCATATGAAGTTCATCTAGTTTGTGAAGCCATGAAGAAGAAATATAAGGTGGATGGATTTAACACAATAACTTCATACTTATATTTCTTTTCATAGCTTATAAAACTAGATGAAGTTTGTTGATTTAGTTGTTTCTTCATTCACTTTTCTGGAATCCTACAAACACCATAAAAATTATCAACATATAAAATCGCCAAGTTATTTGTCAACAACACAACATGCAAAAATAACATAGAACAACATACAACAATAAAAGAGTCATAAACTATCTAACAAAAAGAAATTAATAGGAAAGCCAGGTGAAACATAACAACAACATACACGAAAACGAGAGAATAAGGAAAAAGAAGAATACATTTATGTAAAAAGAACAAGATTGAAGGCTATACTGTAGAATAGAATTTCTAATGATGAAGAAGAAGAGAAAAATGAGTTCTAGGGTTTTGTTGTGATAGATATAATGCTACTGTGAAAGAGTGAGAGTTAATTCGTTTATATATAAATATACTCACAACGGTTGAAGTTTCCAACCGTGGTCGTAACCCAATATTTTATATATAAATATAAATAAAATAGAAAAGGTGCATCTTAACATTAAATGAATAATATATTTGAGAGCACTGAGTTTCAAACCCAAGAAAGCCTTGATTCTATAACTATGGTTATGGTTGCAACCATTATTATATGCTAACAAGTTTTAATAAATAAAATAAAATGTCAGCGCCGTGGATTTAGAGATGTCACCACGGTGTTGGAAGAACCATCGTAAATTGAGTGTTGTTGTTTGTGCATTTTATAGTAGTGTCTGATCGACTTTATCAACAAAGAAAATCATAGCCTTTTTGCCTCTTACGTCTAGCCATGATCTTCCACCCTGATCTTCCCCTAAGGAACAACCCACAAAAGATCCTTCCAAAACACCTTCTTCCTCAACTTCATCAACAAACCATTCACCAGAATCATCCTCCGATACAGACTCAAAGTCCGAAGACCCTTGAGCAACTTTGTTTACGTATGATTTTGGAAACATTATTCTCAAAGGACCCTGTAAGTCTAACTCGACCCTAAATGTTACTCCATTTACCCCCATGTTGAACATTTTTATTGAGGATCAAGTTATATTTGGTATGGACAAGAATTCTCACCACAAAGAATTTGGATTGTTTGCTTGTTTCTTCATTTTAGCAAATGTAAATTCCAAACGAAAATGATAAGAACTCAAAAAACTTAGAGCTCCAAACATGACAGGGAATGACATAACATCTCAACCAAATGACTCTCTTATTGTCAACAACTTCAGGACTCCATTTTCCGATCTCTCTGAACCATTGTCCCAACCAATATTTCGCTTTCGACACAGAGGTATCTTAATTCTCCATCATCAATTTCTTCTAATTAAAACATATTTGGTCCTAGATGAGTGGCTTTGATTGGGAAGTAACCCTCAGTGTTGAATGTTTCATGAATGTTGTTGGACATTCCCGAATTCTCCACATGTGATTTCCTAAATCTTGAAAAGACTTCTTCCTCCACCTTAAACTTATAGTTTGCTAACAATTGCCGCTTTAAATTTCACAAAATGAAAATTACAAACACTTATGTTTTTGTAATAAATATCACAATACTTCAAATTCGACTTTTAAATACCTCTTGCAAACAAATTATACAGAATTAATATGATGAAGATAAATAACCTAAATAATCAAGGTAGTAATCAAAACAACATTTAAGAAATCACATAAAATTAATAACTCTAGCTTGACTTACATACTCCAAGTAACACAAAAATCAATACATCAATAATATCTGAATACCACAACATAATTCAAAATGGTTTGACATAACAAAAAGAAACAAACACCATGCCTTATATTCAACATATGGAAACAAAATATAGCAACAAAATATGAAAACAAAATATAGAAACTTATTCAAAGCCTAAGAGTCAGATCAAGTCCAGAAGATTCAGAATCAGAAGGTTCTTCTTCAAAGTTGAACTTTGGTCGATGAATATCATATTTGATAGAAGCAGGAGCCACACAAAAATTCTTATCTAAATTAGAGCTTGAACTTATGGCAACATCTTTAGAAGAATCTCCAAATTTTAGAAAATCACCAATTTTATTATTTGCACTATTTTCAACCCTTGAAGAAGTTGCACCACCAAGACCTAGAATTCCAACCCTGCTACTACTACCTTCCATATTATTTCTCAAACTAACAAGAGACGGGTGTAATGTCTCTTGCAAGCACAAACCACCATGACCATACGCAAAATTATTTGGTATAACCCTAGCGTTAAAAAGAGATGGTTTTTGAATCATTGAGTCCATTCGAACCCCAAGTGCTCCATAAGGTGAATGAAGAGCACTAGGATAACGAAAATAAGGGTTCAAGTGAGTTTGTCCTAACTCTAGAACATCAGTGTCGTATCTTTGTTCACGTTGTTTTTTTAAAGCACGTTCTGCTTTATGGGCATTCTGGTGTCCTCCTAACGCTTGTAAAGAGGAAAATTCTCTCGTGCAAAAGTTGCACGAATAAGATTTCTTTGACTCCAAATTCTTCTCTTCACTGGTTTTCTCGTCTTTCTTTTCGTTGTTGTTATTAGGTGAATTAGATGACGAACCAACAACATAAATAGGGCTAAAACCATTGTGCTGTTGCACCTTTGACCCATCAACCGAATCCTCTTTCGATAGCTTCGCAAAATCAATAGGCGCCTTGGAATTGGATTTTGAAGATTGACCTTGTTCATTCTTCTTCTTGTTCAAAACGTTTTTTGTTTTGGAAGAATCACCATGATCTTGTGAAGTGACTGAGAGGCTAGAGGATTCGGATTCCATGGCACAAATTAAGTGTAGCAAACTATAGCTTATGTTGGTTTTTTGATTTGATGATAAGAGTGGCTTATAAGAAGTGTTATTTATTTTAAAAATTAATATCTGGATTAACGCACATATCTTTGAATAAGGAAAGAGATATCTGATTCATATTTTTCTGTTAGGGGATGTCTATTACACCCATTCATATTTTGCTGTTAGGAGATGTATATTGCACCCATTCATTAGGCAATTTTGGAATTACAATTAAAACAGATATTTAATTATTAAAAAATTTGAAACGATGTGAGGAGGGATATTACACCGATTGAGTTTGTACATTATTATTCAAACTAATGCGTATGGTAAGTTTCAGACATTATTTTGTGATAAGAAAAACAAAAACAAAAAATATTGAATTTGTTTTTTTTTTTAGAAAATTTTAATATAGTAGTATATTTGTTATTAATTTTTCTCTAATATAAAATAAGATTCTACATGGAGCAAGTCCGATTGTGGACCTTATTATTTTAAAATAAATTTTCTTATAATATTATATATTTTATTTTTTTTACAATTATAGAATTTAGTTTTTATTAACAATAATACAAGTAAACTTTTGAATAATTTTTTGAAAGATTATGTTATGTTTTAATATAATACTATATTTGGTACTCAATTTTCTTGAATATGAAATGGGACTCTATTATAAATCTAGTCTAATAATGGACCTTAATTTTTTAGTAAAATTTAATAAATATTATTTTTTTCTTTCTTTTTTATTATAATAAGATATTTTTATATTTAAAACAATAAAAAACCTTTGAACAATTTTTTTAAAAGTTTATGTTAGATTAACATTTACATAATTTTTTTCTTCATTATTTTCCTATTAGCATAGCATTTATATTTTTTATTAAAAAACATTTCATACATGATTTTGTGTTAAAAAGACAACAATGGATTTAAGAGAACCTGTATACTCCCCTTATCTTTTAGGGTGCATGCTTAGCATGTTACCCTTTGTTTGTATTGATCTGGTGTATTACTCATCAGGACCCTGGTGTATTGTTATAGCACATCTTGTGCATTTGTTTTGCAATATATCTTTGGCTTTTTCAAAACAAAAAAAAAAAAACACTTGTGGTATTTGTTGGTAAAAAATTTGAATGTGTTTTTCTTACAAAGAAAATTTTAATTTTAACATAATACTAGATTTGTTTTTCATTTTTCTTTAATATAAAATGGGATTTTTTATGGAACAAGATCAATTGTGAACCTTATTATTTATAGTAAATTTCACAAAATATTATATTTTTTATTTTTATTAATATAAAATATATTTTACAATATACTGAATAGTTTAATGATTTTGACTAGATTGTTAAATTCTTTCCCAGAAATAAATAGAAAAAAATGGATTGATTTCATCTGATTTATTATCTACGATCAATTTTAGATTAGATAGGTCATTTCTTTTATGATATATAAACTATTAGATTTTACTATGTCAATTCTTAGAAAATACTCAATCAAATTATTTGTACCCACTTCAATAAAAAATATGTGAGCCTTCTCAATAGAATAACTCTTTCCGCAATTCTAACAGAAGACAAAACAAATCCGAACTAATTGAATCCTCGTGTATGAAATTCCACGAATATATTTTTCATTTTCATAAAGAATATAAATGATCACTTTATTTAATGTTAGAGGGTGAATATAATAATTATTTAATTACTCTCAATTGAGTATATATATATATATATATATATATATATATATATATATATATATATATATATATATATATATATATATATATATATATATATATATATATATATCGTTGTTCAGATTTTGGTACTCCAATGGATGGTAGCCTTGTCATCATAGAAGGTAGTTCGTTGTTGAGATTTTGGTACTCCAATGAATGGTAGCCTTGTCATTATGGAAGGTAGTTCGTTGTTGAGATTTTATTACTCCAATGAATGGTAGCCTTGTCATTATAGAAGGTAATTCGTTGTTGAGATTTTGATACTGCAGTGGATGGTAGCCTTGTCATTATGGAAGGTAGTTTGTTGTTGATATTTTGGTACTCCAATGGATGGTAGCCTCGTCATTATAGAAGGTAGTTCGTTATTGAGATTTTTTATTCCAACGGATGATAGCCTTGCCATTATGGAAGGTAGTTTGTTGTGGAGATTTTGGTATTCTAATGAATGGTAGCCTTGTCATTATGGAAGGTAGTTCGTTGTTGAGATTTTGGTACTCCAATGGATGGTAGCCTCGTCATTATAGAAGGTAGTTCGTTATTGAGATTTTTTTATTCCAACGGATGGTAGCCTTGCCATTATGGAAGGTAGTTTGTCGTGGAGATTTTGGTATTCTAATGAATGGTAGCCTTGTCATTATGGAAGGTAGTTCGTTTTTGAGATTTTGGTACTGCAGTGGGTGGTAGCCTTGTCATTATGGAAGGTAGTTCGTTGTTGAGATTTTGGTACTCCAATGGATGGTAGCCTTGTCATTATGGAAGGTAGTTAGTTGTTGAGATTTTGTTACTCCAATGGATGGTAGCCTTGTCATTATGAAAGATAGTTCGTTGTGGCGATTTTTGTACTCCAATTAATGGTAGCCTTGTCATTATGGAAGTTATTTCATTGTTGAGATTGTGGTGGTCCAATGAATGGTAGCCTTGTCATTATGGAAGGTAGTTTGTTGTTGAGATTTTGGTACTCCAATAGATGGTAGCCTTGTCATTATGGAAGGTAGTTCGTTGTTAAGATTTTGTTACTCCATTGGATGGTAGCCTTGTCATCATAGAAGGTAGTTCATTGTTGAAATTTTGTTACTCCAATAGATGGTAGCCTTGTCATCATAGAAGGTAGTTTGTTATTGAGATTTTGTTACTGCAATGGATGGTTGTCTTTTCATTATGGAAGGTAGTTTGTTGTTGAGATTTTGTTACTCCAATGAATGGTAGCCTTGTCATTATGGAAGGTAGTTCGTTGTTGAGATTTTTTTACTCTAATGAATGGTAGCCTTGTCTTTATTGAAGGTAGTTTATTGTTGAGATTTTGGTACTCCAATGTATGGTATCCTTGTCATTATGGAAGGTAGTTCGTTGTTGAGATTTTGGTACTCCAATGGATGGTAACCCTGTCTTTATGGAAGGTAGTTTGTTGTTGAGATTTTGGTACTCCAATGGATGATAGCCTTATTATTATGGAAGGTAGTTCGTTCTTGATATTTTGTTACTCCAATGGATGGTAGCCTTGTCATTATGGAAGGTAGTTTGTTGTTGAGATTTTGGTACTCCAATGGATGATAGCCTTATTATTATGGAAGGTAGTTCGTTCTTGATATTTTGTTACTCCAATGGATGGTAGCCTTGTCATTATGGAAGGTAGTTCGTTGTTGAGATTATGTTACTCCAATGGATGGTAGCCTTGTCATTATGGAAGGTAGTTCGTTGTTGAGATTTTATTACTCCAATGAATGGTAGCCTTGTCATTATAGAAGGTAATTCGTTGTTGAGATTTTGATACTGCAGTGGATGGTAGCCTTGTCATTATGGAAGGTAGTTTGTTGTTGATATTTTGGTACTCCAATGGATGGTAGCCTCGTCATTATAGAAGGTAGTTCGTTATTGAGATTTTTTATTCCAACGGATGATAGCCTTGCCATTATGGAAGGTAGTTTGTTGTGGAGATTTTGGTATTCTAATGAATGGTAGCCTTGTCATTATGGAAGGTAGTTCGTTGTTGAGATTTTGGTACTCCAATGGATGGTAGCCTCGTCATTATAGAAGGTAGTTCGTTATTGAGATTTTTTTATTCCAACGGATGGTAGCCTTGCCATTATGGAAGGTAGTTTGTCGTGGAGATTTTGGTATTCTAATGAATGGTAGCCTTGTCATTATGGAAGGTAGTTCGTTGTTGAGATTTTGGTACTGCAGTGGGTGGTAGCCTTGTCATTATGGAAGGTAGTTCGTTGTTGAGATTTTGGTACTCCAATGGATGGTAGCCTTGTCATTATGGAAGGTAGTTAGTTGTTGAGATTTTGTTACTCCAATGGATGGTAGCCTTGTCATTATGAAAGATAGTTCGTTGTGGCGATTTTTGTACTCCAATTAATGGTAGCCTTGTCATTATGGAAGTTATTTCATTGTTGAGATTGTGGTGGTCCAATGAATGGTAGCCTTGTCATTATGGAAGGTAGTTTGTTGTTGAGATTTTGGTACTCCAATAGATGGTAGCCTTGTCATTATGGAAGGTAGTTCGTTGTTAAGATTTTGTTACTCCATTGGATGGTAGCCTTGTCATCATAGAAGGTAGTTCATTGTTGAAATTTTGTTACTCCAATAGATGGTAGCCTTGTCATCATAGAAGGTAGTTTGTTATTGAGATTTTGTTACTGCAATGGATGGTTGTCTTTTCATTATGGAAGGTAGTTTGTTGTTGAGATTTTGTTACTCCAATGAATGGTAGCCTTGTCATTATGGAAGGTAGTTCGTTGTTGAGATTTTTTTACTCTAATGAATGGTAGCCTTGTCTTTATTGAAGGTAGTTTATTGTTGAGATTTTGGTACTCCAATGTATGGTATCCTTGTCATTATGGAAGGTAGTTCGTTGTTGAGATTTTGGTACTCCAATGGATGGTAACCCTGTCTTTATGGAAGGTAGTTTGTTGTTGAGATTTTGGTACTCCAATGGATGATAGCCTTATTATTATGGAAGGTAGTTCGTTCTTGATATTTTGTTACTCCAATGGATGGTAGCCTTGTCATTATGGAAGGTAGTTCGTTGTTGAGATTATGTTACTCCAATGGATGGTAGCCTTGTCATCATGGAAGGTAGTTCGTTGTTGAGATTTTGGTACTCTAATGGATGGTAGCCTTGTCATCATGGAAGGTATTTCGTTGTTGAGATTTTGTTACTCCAATGGATGGTAGCCTTTTCATTATGGAAGGTAGTTCGTTATTGAGATTTTGGTACTCCAATGGATAGTAGCCTTGTCATCAT